GACACAAGGGAAAACTTCTGAGACCATGGGAAGAATTTGGGTGTCCATACATAGATGCCTAGTGGCATTTTAGACAGATTCCCACCTGAATCATAGATGCTGCTCCAGAAGGAAGTCTCCAGGTCCCACACAGTAGCTACCAGCCCTGTGAATGTACTTTTTATACACCAAATGGCTAAAATGGCATTAGACACCTATTCGTAGGCATTCAGTCATCCCCTATATGCCCCTTCCTTGCAAATCTGTACCGCAAACGTCACAGTTCAGAAACTAACAGAAGCTACTTAAGGCTTATAGCAGTTGCTTTCCTTTTCTCACAACAGTCAGAAATTTTTTGTTTAAATATTAGGCGAATTACGCAAGTTCATGAGAAAGATTACACACTTCTTTGTATGTTAGAAATGTTGCTAATTATACCGAGGGTAAGGAAAGCTAATACTGAACTAATAAATGAAGCATTCATGTTCCATTTATAAAAGTTTTAAATAACTTTTAAATAAATAACATTATTTACCTTCCTTCTCCTCCTCCCTCCTTTTGTTCTTGTTTCCTTTTTTTTGTGAACAAGATAGAAAACTAACGCCCCTGACCATTTGAAATTTCTTAGCTAAAAATAGCAGTTACTCTGGGGTGGTGGTGGGAAGCTTGATTTGTGCAGGGAATTTAGTATTTTCTAACTGGATATACTTAACTTATACTTAACAGTAGGCACTCATGGGAAGGATATTTTTATCCAAAACCAACTAATTTAAACATTCTTACAAGGGCTTTTTTCTTAAACAGAAACTACATACAGTGCTTAATCTGAGAACTGAATTTCATTTTTCTGCAGAACACCTGCATAGAAGAAATAGTGGAAAACAACTGACTTCTAATTTTAAAAAATACGTTCCTGAAATGGTTGTCATTGATCAAAGACATTGAATATACTAAATTACTTTTTTAATTAGGAAGGTAACATTTTATATTTTAATATATCCGCTTATGCTTAAAAATTTCCTTCCTTGCATCTCATCAAATAATACAAATCAGCCTTCTCTTTCATAAGACAGAATGTTCAAACAGGAGCTGCAATCACCTGAAATCAACAGGTTAAAAAAGCTACTAAAGAAACAAAAATAATACACCAAACATTTTAACAACTGGAATAAAATTATACAAAAGAAAAATTACCAAAGATCCAGTCAAAAAAACAACAAAATGCATAAATTCCAACATGAACAAAAGCTCGAAGTTTAGAGATGCAAGGCTATTTTGGAAGTGTAGATGTACTGTACAGAACTAATTCTCAAACAGAAAGAAGGTGAAATTTGTACTCCCTTAATTAATTGCATTTTTTCATTACTTAATCAAAACGAACTACAGTTGTTTCTTGACTGGCAGTTTGTTCATGTATTAATACATCAGCATTTCAGGAAAGCTGCTGTGGCTGTGATGTCCTCATGTCCTGTGATGCACTGTCTGGGCTGCACTCTTAAGAACTGAAGCCAAGTAACGGAATTACCGAAGGACCAATGACCAAAATTCCCCCTCCTTCACCAAACCCACAATCGAAGGCACAAGGGAAGAAGTAAGCAGATCTTTTAGATTATTACGCTCTTACCCAATGATCAGCACAGAAACACTCCCCAGCAGCCATACACAAAAAGCAAGCGGTAGAAGTACTTCCCCTCTTCCTGAGCTTGTTACTAACTCTTCTCCTTCTGTAGTCTCAAAAATGACCCAATTCCAGAGTCCTTTAAAAACAATGCATTCCAGTCCTCCACTGAGACTGGGCGAGAGACTATTAATAGAAGAGTAAGAGCATACGCTAAGATACTTTCCCATCAGAAACTAACAGCTGCACAGGAGAGCAAGTATGTCTCAAACTCCAACAGTTCCTTGCATCCAAGATTCTTCCCCTGCTCAAAGCCCACACGCCCAGGAGGGCATGCACCATGTCAACTGGAGTTCAAAACTAACACAAAACTCAGGTCTCGGCTAATATAACCAACCAATGTACAACGCTGCTTTGCAATTTTCCAGATAAAATGTCATGAGCTCTCCTTGAACTCATGATATCAAGCATACTCATAGGAAGAGAAAGCAGTCATCTTCTAGCGGACTGTTAAAATAGCCAGTGTAATCTTGATCTGATCAAGAAAGTTCAGTTCCACTCCTTCTTTAAGTGAACTCTATCTTCCACTGCACAGAATAATTTTCTAGCTCAAGTACCAAAAAGATGGTGAAGTAGAACTAGGAATGTGAAGTTAAGAATTTGCAGCTTTAAACTGCCTCATGTTTAAGATACCTGTCCAGCACATTGAAAAATTAATTCCTCTAGTCAGCAACTCTGAGGGCTTAGTATCAATTCAACTTGCACTTTCATTACAATTAACATAAAATTTTTTCTATACTTCTAAGCCACTGTATGCTTTCCTTACATGTATTTTAAGATCCAGAAGAAATATCTGAACAATTTGAAAGAAGGGGCATATAATTTTCAGTGCTCTGCATAACTCACTACTTACTAAGTATTTGTTAAGAAGGGAGACGAGAGAGAAATGCATCAACCTGCTGACAAAAAGATGTAGCACCATGCAATTGTGCCAGTTAGGATTGTTTATTGACACAAGAGTTACAAACATTCATTAGTCAGTCCTCACTGACTAATGGCTATTTTAACAATCCTCTAAAATATGACAATGATGACGTTGAAGTGATCCTGTGATGTGGCTGTATGTTCTTATGACTTTCACATGTTGCTATGAGCCATCTGTGGCAAGTTATAGCACTATATCTTCATCACTAACTAGCCTTTTTTGTTTCAACATAATTATTTATATGCCCTTGACTCTGGAAAGAATGTTCATTGTTGAGCCTCGAGACACACAAACCAGAGCTGAGCTGTCTTCAAATTAGCATTTTCCACTTCATTAGTGGATATTTGGGTAGTGAAGAACTAAGGATGGTCAGTCTCATCTCACGCCCTTTCAAAATACGCAGTTAAATGGCACAGCTTACTCCCTGGCTTTCAAAGGTTTGAGTACACAACAACCAACTATAAAGATTGCCTCCTTATAACAACCAACTCTGCCTTCTTTGGAACCTGCAATTTTCATATATGTTCCAGTTGCACTTATTGAATTAGTGTTGATTAGCTTGCTGAGACCTATAGCTGCAATACGTTGGACCTTATGCCTACTGTGTGATCAAAAGAAAGTGCATTGTATTTAAATACAAATGTTCCCTTAGCAAAGACGAAGTATTACACTGGGGGCCACAGCTGTCCTGCACAATGTCGAAAAAAATAACAATTACATACTATGCACAAAAGAAAGACATAATCAGAACGAAGAGTTAGGGTTGCATTTATAATCTGTAAAGCCTCACAATTTCCTTGCACAGCAGAGGTAAATATCACTGCTATCAAGATTTTGGAAGGACACAATATGCAACCAGATGGACCTTAAGTCTTACCAGTAGGTCTATTTCTCAGAAGCTGTTTTTTGTAGCAGTTGGCTATCAAATAGATTTACAGGTTAAACATTAGTGTGTCTAGAAATAGCTCCACTTAGCCCTTAGGACTATCATCAGAAAGCCTCTGATAAGGACTTAAAAAAAAAAGCAATAAACATCCCTATCCACATTTCAAGAAGAAGAACGCAGAAGCACGAAGTATCTTGTTCAAGAAAACCCAGCAGGCAGAACTGACAACAGACTCCAGGAATTACAAGTTCCTGTCCTCAATATCTTCTAGTACTGCTCTGTCCTGCTGGATGTATTACTGGAAGAATAATGGTCATGGTCTGAAGTTCCTGAATTTGCAGCTCTTCATGGTACAAAGGCAAAACATTTCAGATCCTACCAAGGCTTTGGACACGTACAGCTTTTCAGTATTATTTAAATTATTGCGATTTGGTAAATGCAGCAGTTGAAATATGACAAGTTTCTCTGTTAAGTTCCAGCTCACTCTCCCTTTCTGGTCTCATTAAACCATTAATAAGTAAAAAGTTGCTCTTTGGTGCCTTCTGTTGCCATACACACTCATCAAAGAGAATTGCTTTCTGAAAGGCTAAATGTTTACTCAATTATGTAGCTCAAAGTGTACATCTGACAGATTGCCATACCCGCCCATGTTCTTAGTCACAATTCCCTAATCACGTCCATGATCATCACATCTCAGTACGTGCTAGCGCACATTCTACCCCACACTGAGATGAGCTACATTTGTACCTTCTTATTTACAAATGCTCACGTGTGCCTTACCTGTCTACAACCTGCCCCATATTTCCCCAAGTCATAAGGAACAATGAACGTAGTCTTAAACTTCTACATGACAGAAAGGCCCCCCTTAGATCCAAAAAGACACAGGGATAGAAATCAGTCCCCTGTGATATCAGGAGACATAGCAGAAAAGATGTGCAGCAGGTTATTTCCCAACATTAAGTCACTCACTAGAGTATGCCCTTCTTGGTATGTCATTCTACAGCAGCCAACCTGTAGATATTTCTCTCTTAAGTTTCTTGCACTTTCATCTCTTAAAAAAATTTTGTTTAGAATGTAATGCAGTAATCCAGTTACGGTTACCAAAACTTTTTAAAAAATCACCACCTGTAAAAAAAACCAAAAAACACACTTCCCAGAGATCAAGCCACATATCAATATAATTTCAAGTTTATGTTGGCAATGACATCTTTTAGCATACCAATGATGGCTGTTAGAAAACTAAAAAAGGTTCAGCACAGGCAACTATGAAAAAATCCAACATGCAAAACCTCTAACAAAACTGTCTGCAGAACACTTCCGATTGACCCAAAGTAGAGATTTACATCACAGCTTGCTGCTGCAGTTTTGCAAATGCATGGTCAAGTGACAGTATCACAATGGGCACACTAAGATTTTCCTGCTAGGCTCAGTATTAAGATTTAGCTCATTTCTAAGCATAAGCATTTGCTTTGAAGGAAAACGCACGCTAGAAAACATCACAGCTCTTTTATGAAAGATATTTCCATACTTACTGGTGCTACTATTTTGCCCGTCTGTCCAACTTGCATGTCATTAGGAACAAAGCCAGCATCAACAGCTGCACGGGAAGCTCCAACTAGTTGAAAGAAAATATTTCCAGTGTTTTCTTTTAAAATATTAGCGAGCCAAATTTCTATCACTATAAAAGCACATGTATTTTACTGAAGAGTCCCACACTCTAAGGGGAGGTATTTAGAAACTTCCCTCTTAAAAGCTCTTATAGTAATCCCTCTCTATACCACTGGCTAAAACTTCCAAATACTAAGTGCTAATGCACTTCATAAGCAACAGGAAATCCTTACTCCCAGCACCAAAGGGCCATATATTTAAAACCGAAGATTTCAGTCTGGCATATTTCCATTATTTTCTCTTGTTGCTTTGTCTAAAGAGGATTTTCCCATAAATGCCTTCCCATAATGTTCCTCCAAGTTTGAATAGAACACATGTGCCATCTTATATTGCTGCGGACCTCAAAAGTCAGGCATAGTAAAGAAAAATTTCAAAGTGAACTTGAAAATGCCACATGGACACTTAGTTAGTGAAGCCACCAATTTAAAAACAAAGCCATTCATATAAAACCATAAATTTATTATTCCATGTGAAATCTAAAACTAATGCAGTTAAAATGTTAATGCAAACAGTTCCTCCTCCTCCCCCAACCTTTACTTAAAATATTTTGCCGAGATGCTGTACGTGGTCAGTTTTCTCCTGTTAATACAAAAGCGTAGCAAAAAGACAGAGCCACTCAAACTACAAGAACTGTGAAATGGATTCTGTAAAGGAGTAGTATATAAGGATGTATGAAGAAAATATCAGCTCTTCAAAGTGAGCTAAGACCATTTTTTAATTTATACAACTTCACTTTTTGTTTGTGAGCTTGTGTTCTGAAGATTTGAGAAGGACAGGGAATATTACAGTTTAGTATTTTGCTTCATACACGGGCATTTAAATACACAGTGGACCACAAGGAGAAGACAAAACTTTATCTACGACTAAACTAACAGGATTTTAAGAATTTATTTGAGAGAGACATGAAAATAAAAGACTTAAGATGAACATTGTTTTTAATGTGACCTTTTTAAATATAATAACCAGGGTTAAAAAAAGAGGAAAACAGGTTTACCTGCAGCATGCAATTGATCCGCAAGATCATATAACAACTTAAAATTTTCCCCGCTCTTCAAGCCTCTCCCTTAAAAGTTAAGAACAAAAAAAATAAAGAAGAATATAATATGCTTTAAGATTTTTTTATTGCCTACATAAACTTCCTGTATGAGTATTTGCATTTGCAAATGTACACTTGCACAAGGTATTTTTGGATATATTACTAAATAGTATTTAATATTTGGAGATTTAGCTTTTGTCTTTGTGATTAGTATTATTTCGTATGTATAAACCAACACCACTCTGCCTAGTTTACTTCCTGCACACAGCACCATCAAGGTCGTTCTCTGAAAACAGTGAAACAGGATTTTTTTACTAATTTGTGCTCCCTCTGCTGGCTTTAGGTACAAAACTCTGTAGTGGGATAACTAAGGAATCATTTTTTAGCCACAGGCATACAGTAAAAATCACAGTCCATCACTTTATACCTGAAGAGCAGAATACAAACATAATGATTTTAAAAATCATTAAAGCCATTACGTAATCATGTTTGGACTGCCTGTAACGATTAGCAATAATTTTAAACATGACAGATTTGGATCTATAAACACTTCATATTGCTATAATTTTAAAGGGACTCACCAAATATGACAATGTTCTGAAAAAGCTTACTAGCATATGTCAAACTCATGTTTTGCCTCTTCATGAAACATACATGTTGAATGCATTCCCACTGGCCCCTATGTCGTATTTCAGAATTACATCATAATTTTTTTTTTGATGTATCACATTACATTGTTCTGCTACAGATATTATTTAATCAAGATGTACTATTACTTAAATGCAATGTAACACAGTTTTAATATTATCTACTTACCACCCGATACAACCACTTTAGCGCTAGTAAGCTCTGGTCGATCGCTTTTTGTCAACTTTTGCTCAATCCATTCAGATAGACCAACAGGCGGTGGAGGGGTTACTGCATTCATCAGATGAAGAAAAACATCCGCAAGGAAAAGGATAAAGCGTGTATTTTCAACCTTTTAAATTTGACCTTAAACTTAATGCAAAAGTTCATTCTATAACCAATTCTATCACAAGCTCTTAACTACTATCAGTAATTGCTCTGTGGCTCTGAGTTACAAGCCTCTTTCATTAGTTGTGTTTAAGTAACCTATAGTATAAGCTGCACTAAAATGACGGTCTGTTCTGTAAGTAATACATTGATATCAACCCAGCATAATAAGTGTGGTTCTTACTAAGACAGGCAAACAAGCCAATTAAGTAGTGCAATGACAATGCAATATGCTAATCTTAAGTATCAAGTAGCATTTGTTTCCTAACATCCACAGACGTTAGGAAATACAGGATGGTTCAGGGGCAGGTACTAAGCCACCCAGAAAAATGTGAGGACTGGGACACACACACAGAACGTTACTAATGACTGCCTTTGCTGGATTTGCAGCACAGCCATAAAAAGGCCCACAGCCAAAAACTACTGTAGAGGTGATCAAACACTGGAACAGATTGCCCAGAGTGCTTGTGAAGTCTCCATCTGTGGAGATACTCAAAGCCTGACTGGACACAGTCCTGGGCAACCTGCTCCAGGGGGGTTGGACTAGATGATCTCAAGAGGTCCCTTCCAACCTCAACTATTTTGTGATTCTGTGATTGGATTTCTCTACTACCAAAGCTACGCTGGCTTCATTAAAATAATAAACTGATTTAGTTAAAACTGATCTAAACCAACAACTGGGTGTTCTCAAATCAATTTAAACTGCTACCAGTTTAGCTAGACACTCTAACGACCCAACTCAATTGAAATACAACCGATTAAACCAAAACTCTGGATAGCCAGCCACTTATATTTTTGCTCAATCTTGCTTTGAAAACCAATCTGGCTATTCAAACAACTGTAACTTTAAATAAAGAAAAGTTTCAAGATTGCGGTGGCAGAGCTTTAAGCAGCAAGTGAAACTGACAGAGATTTCAGCACAGATAATCTCCATTTCTGGTCAAAGAAAAAGTAGCACGTTGTCCTGGTTTCGGCTGGGATAGA